GCACCCCTGCCGGGCAGCTGTGTGCCAGCAGCGGCCTTTGGGTCTGGCCTGGGCAGCTGTGCGTTGGGCTGGGATTTCGGTTGGCTGCTGGGAGCACACCTGCTCCCTCTGGCTCCGCTGCAGGTGCGTGCGGGGCTCTCCCGCGCAGGCCTGTACTGGGCTCCTCTGGCTCCACTGCCGCCAGTGCGCGCAAGCCATGCCCGGGCTGTTTGGTTGCCGCCACTGTGGGCTCGCAGAAGCCTCTCCTGGTCTCCTCTGGCACTGTTGGTGCATGCGATCTGCTCCCGGCCCCTTCCAGCATGGCCGCCCCTGGCACATGCTACCACTCTCCTGCTACTGGGCCGGTGTGTCGGGGTCCGCGCCAGTTGGAGGAACGACTGGCAGGCTGCTTAGTGCTGTGAGGGTCTTCAGAGCTGCGCTGCCTCTCCAGGGTTTAGGGCGCCTAAGGTTCCCCAGGATTCCCAGCCGCTGGCTCAGTGTGCCGGGATGACTTTGTCCAGCTATGGGGTCCCTGTCTCTTTAAGACTTGCAGAAAGCACTCGCTTTTCTTTTGTCTCAGGGGCGCCGGTTGTGGGGACCTGCCCACAGGTTTTGCTTTACCATTTCTCTAATATCCAGCACCCCGTGCACCTTGTACCTGTGCTCCGGGTGCGGATTTCTAGAGCTGGTTGTTTAGCAGTCCTAGGCTTTCACTCCCTCCCCGTTCTGACTCCTTTCTTCCCACCGGGTCCTGGGGTGGGGGAGCGTTCAGGTCCCGCCTGGCCACGGCTTGTATCTTACCCCCTTCGTGTGATGTTGAGTTCTCAAAGATGTAGATGTATCCTGGCTGTTGTACTGCATCCTCTGGTGTCTCTTTTAGGAATAGTTGTATTTATTGTATTTTCATAAACATATATGTTTTGGGGAGGAGATTTCCTCTGAACTACTCATGCCGCCATCTCCCCGTGATCCTCCCTACAACCTGTTTTTTATCAGAAACATGAACAGCTCCAGGCTCCAAGGGATTCTGAGATGCAGGCACAAGAATATCTGCCCTCAGCCAAGGAACTTCCCCCATGTGATAAAAAAGGTATGAAAGCTTACAAAAGCACATGCGGCTTAAAAAAGATGTTAAGCATTTTGCACACTAAACGTTGTGCAAATGCATAGACAGGCACTACTCTTGTGCATAGAGGCCTCGTCCTCTGAGCTTCTAACTCAAGAGGGAGATGCACCCCAGATGTCCTTTAGGCAGTGAAATGGAGCTGGCCAGACTGGGTTGGATAGAGTGGCTAGGACTCTGGAGTCCTCTATTTTCAGCAGGAGGAGCTGTAGACAGAGAGGAAGGGGTCAGGGCCAGGTCACATCCATTTCCCCTCCCTGCTCTTCCCTCCTTTACATTCCATCCAATCGAGGCTTTGTCGCCTGGACTCTTGCACAGAGCTCTTCCTTGCTGATCTGCCCACCTCAATGCTTGCCTGCTCCAGTCCCTCCATCACAACCACCGCATTCCTCTTCATCAAGCCCAGGGCCTTTGAATACTCTCCTCCTTGGCTCAGACAGTCCCTGGCTCCTCACGACCCACAGTTGCTGGTCTAGCATGCCAGACCTCTTGATTGGCAGCCTCTCTAGCCTCACTCCTTCTCAACCCCTCCAGGGTTGCTGCTTCATTCACACACCATACCCCATCCACCATTGTGGTCTGGGGGTGCCCAGCCTTTCTGCTCAGCCTCCCCAGGTATCTGTCTCTCCTGGGACTACCTCCAGTCCTTCCTCTCCAGGCTCATCGTTGAGATTTAGTCAAGAACACAACTTGTGAAAGTGCCCAGGCTCTACACCTTAACTGGAAGCTCCCTGAAGGCAGGGACCAGATCTCCTTCCAGACTAGGCTCTTATCACCTATGTGTATGTCCTCCCCAGACCACAGCAGACCTGCGGGGGGCTGGGTAGCAAGCTCTGGGTTGGGAGTCAGGACACCTGCTTTGCACATGATATGCTGCATGCCCTGGGGAAAGTCACTGCCACTCTCAGGGCCTCAGTTTCCTTGTTTCTTGACATCAGGGTGCTGGACATTTGCTGTTGAGCACAAAGCTTGATAAACTAATGATTCACTGAGCAACCATCAGCTGCCATCTCCGGCATCATCAGACCAAGGAGACTGTGTGTCCCCAGTTAGGCCCTGCTTACCACAAAGCCCTCCCATTTCCCAACTATCCCCACCCTGTGTTCTCTTTCCAGAACCAGGCTACCCGGTGCGATGCAGGGATGGAACAGCAAAGTGGAGCCAGAAGGGGCTTGGGGAGAGTTTCAGACTCAGCAGAGCCTCAGCCACCTCCAGCTTCTGCCACCACTCTGAGGCAGAAACCGAGGCCTGCTCACAAGCTTTGGGAGCCTGCAAAGGAAAGGGTGTGAGAGAATGGGAGCTGAGAACGCACACCTCCCCCCTTGTGTGACAAGTGCCCCTTCAGTCCCCAGTTCCACTGAAGGCCCCACCCATCCCTGGGCCTTCTGCTCTTCCCATTCACTGAGCTCTGCCCCTGCCAGGGTTCAGGACTCCACTATTTTCCCAGAATCTGTGGCTGCAGTAGAAGAGGGTCAAGGTTGGCACAAAGCTGGAGGATCAGAGTTGAGCATCTGGAAGCAAAGAAGAGGCCAGGAGATTAAAGCCTCTGACAGACACGTACTACCAGTAGATAGAGAGGGGCAGGCATTTGTAATATTTGGATGTGGGAGTATGAGATGCCGCCTTCTCCTCCCCTCCTTCTCCTCTTCCACATCCTCCTGTTCCTGCTCCTCCTCCTCCTGCTCATCTGCCACTGCCTCCACTTCCTCATCTATCTCCCATGGCATCAGGCACAAAGTTGGGCACCCAAACACAATACACAACTAGCACCATGGTCCTCCTCACTCAACTCACCTGCTGGGCAGTGCAGGAGGCCTCAGGGAAGCCCTGGAAAGAGAAATTGTCAGTTGCATCTTCAAGGCTGCTGGAGTCCAGGATGGAGACAAAGATTCTGGGGTATGGTCTGTCAGCAGAGTACCCTGGGAGCTTTCCTGCAGGAGCAGAGAGCATAGGTTGGAGTCAGGTACCAGGCCAGCCATGGGGAGGAGACATGGGCATGTTTTGTGACTGGGATAGGAGCCCAGGATGTCAGAGCTGAAATGACCTTGAAGACCAGCCTGTCCTACTTGTCACCTTGCAACTGGCCCAGAAGTACTTTCTCCCCAAGGTCACATGGCGAGTTGCAGTAGGGTTAGAGATGGAACCCAGGACTTCAGGACACAGAGGAAGGGGTCTGGGTGGTGGCTGAGGTGGGATCCTCTCCCACTGGCCCCAGACTCTCCTTACTTCCCCAGGCAGTTGCACAGGGGTGGGCCTCCAGCTGGGGCATGATGTTCTCCTCCCCAGATGTGAGAGACTGGGGACAGCTTAGGTGAGCCTTTCCCACTGACCCCACCCAACTCTACCTCACCCCCAATCTGAGTTCTCATCTCACCATGGGCCTCTTTGACCTCCCCAGATCTCCACTTCCCACCAACTCTTGGTAGATAACAGAGTTGGGGAAGCCAAGGCCTGAGAAGTAACACCCAAGGCCATATAAAAATTCAGAGGTAGGACTGGCGACAGAGCTACTCAGGCTCCCTGCACTGAAACCCAGGCTCCCTCCCTGGACAGCGACACTCACTGAAGGCTCCTCCTTGGACGGCCAATTTCTTCACAGGGCTGTGAGCCTTGGGAGAGGTGGCCCCACTCCTTAACAGCCCTTGAGGCAGGTGCCTCTTTAGGTGCCCTTGCTCCGTCTTCAAGGCACTCTCGGCAGGCAAGACCATAGGATTCTCCCTAAAGTGGAGGATTGTACATCTCAAGTCAGTCACATTTAAAGGAGGCCCACTCCCCTGCCCTTGTCAGACACCATACTCACGAGAAGAGGGCATCCTTGTAACACTCGCAGGCCTCAAAGAGGCAAGAGTGCTCCTCATCCTTGACTTGGTCAGTGATTCCGTGGTTGTGGCAGTGGGCACAGTGTCTTATAGCTCTTCTGGGGCCAAGGTCAGTCCCGCATGGGGCTGCAGCCTCACGCCCAGTGGTGGAGTTGGAGGGGCAAAAGGGCACAGCAGGCATTTCATCGGGATCCATGGTTCTAGAGCCAGGAGTGGAGGTCACAATGGCCACATGATCCCCTACCCTCGAAGTGCTTCCTCTGCCCTTGGAACAGCCCATCTGAGGTGAATGGACTCTTCTTCAGCCTGCTCACTGCTGATATCAGTTTGCACCCTCCCTTCTTGCTCATGTAGCCTCCTTCCCAGGAAGCCCCACTCACGCATTAGCCTTGTTCCATGAAACTCTTGGCATGGATCCTGTACACTTGCAATCCAATTATTATTCTCTTTGCTTACCTTCACTCCACAGAGACCCCCCTTTCTTCAGGCATACACATGCACCCTTGTGCCCCCCTCAACAATTACTACTCTCTCATGTATCATCCTGCACTCTGCTATACACAACTATTATTCCCCGCATCCACTTCCACAACTGTCTGCCTGACCGCCTGCTTTCACTCATCCCTACCCATGATTCTATGCCCCTTGCACTCAATTCCAATATTAGCTTCCCCACATTCAATTTTCTCTCACATTCCATTCTGACTTTTTTCTTGGACCTCACAGCAATCTTCATTATTCTCTCGCCCACTCTTTAGGCTGACACTCCTTTTTGTACCCCCATGAAATCATAGTACTAGGCTGGATCCCAAGCCCTTCTTTCAATAATTGTTTTCATTCATTCATCCCCTCGATTATTCATTGAATAGATGTTTGTTGAGACCTATATCGAACGCCAGACCTGATCTCGCCAACAGCCAACTCCTCACTGCACTGATTTCTTACAACAATGCACCGTCTCTGCTTTCAAGCAAACCCACGCATTGCCTCCCAACAATCTTCCATGCTCCTCATCATGCTTCAACAATGTTGCTTCAGCGCACACCCGCCCCCGACCCCCCGGTGTCCTGACACACACACCCAGAGTGCACCAACTCCTCTCAGGCAGCTCAATCATTCACTACTGCCCCCACCTCAGAATCAAAGGCAAGAGCATGGGCCCTGACCCAGGGGGCCTGGGGCAAGGAGTCCTCCCACAGGGGTTCTTCCATAGAGGGGGAGGCAGGGGACGGAGTGGGACATCGGGAGCAGGTGAAGAAACCATGCTGAGGTGGAGAGGAGAAGGGATTGGGGATCCAGAGCCAGAGGGAGGGAGGAAAGAAGAGGTATGGAGAGCAAGGGTCATATTCCTGATGCCAGCCCGTGGTTATCTCAGCCTCCAACAGGTCAGAATCAATCAGCAGCGACGACAGGCGTGAGGGAAGACCCAGCTCTCACCCCACTTCCCGCCCTTCCCACAATGGCCACTGAGCTTCCAGCACTACCTTCCACCTCCCACTGCTGTGGCCGGCAACCAGTGACCTTTGAGTTCCACCAAAGCTAACTCCCCACAAAGTCCCGCCCCCCTCGCCTCCCCGCGGCTGCTCCTTCTGCTCACTTTACTCAGCCAGCCAGTAACTCATGAAGCAGAGTCTTGTGCTCCCCAATCCTTGTTTCCCAGACTGTTCTCTTTCTGGATGTGAATATTATATGTGCATGCACTGTTAAACTCATGGCCTTGGTATTCTGTAATTTACTTTTACAAAATTCAGCATGTGTTTTTAGGATCGATCCATATTCCCATGTCAGGGATTCCTAATCAGGGGCGATTTTCCACCCCCAGACAACATTTGGCAGTGTCTGGAGTCATTCTGGTCCATATTCCTGTGTCTCTGTTGCTGAGCTTCCTGTGCGGTCCCACAGATAAATGTGTCTATTCCTGTGTCAACAGCTACAGTATCTTAACTTTTATCTCTTGGTAAGACATCTTGGTCTCTGGCAGGGCAAGTTCCCATGTCTTATTCATCATCTTCAGGCGTATCTTCGCTATTCTTTGCCTTTTGCCCTTCATGTAAGTGCTAGGATCAGCATGCCCTGATCCCTGAAAACTCATCTGCAACACATTTGGATAGCGTTTTTATGGAATCTGTGGAATCAGTTAAGGGAGAACCAACTATATGATGTCCAGCCTTCTAATCACCAAACATGGGATGTCTCTCTATTCATGTGGGTCTTCCTTAACATTTTAATCTCTCAGTTTACTATTTAGCTGTATCTTTCATATATTCAGATCCTGTACTTCTTTTACTTATTTATTTCTTTAATTTTATTTTGGTATCATTAATGTACAATTACATGAGCAACATTATGCTTACTAGACTCCCCCCATCATCAAGTCCCCACCACATACCCCATTACAGTCACTGTCCATCAGCGTAGTCAGATGCTATCGAATCACTACTTGTCTTCTCTGTGTCGTACAGCTCTCCCTGTGCACCCCCCCCC